GTTGGTAAAAGAGTAGCCCAAGAGTTGGCGGTGGGTGATGATGACTAGCCGCCTTCCCTCTAGCCTTACACTGCTATATTAGGGACGGCTAGCGCAGATAGCCCTCGTGTAGCTTTGGGCGAAATTTAAAAAACAAACAAACAAACTCCCAGAACTGTGGAAACTTGTTAGCTATTTCACTACTTATCCAGAAATAACGTTTGCCTCGTTTGAATCTAGCTTGGGCTGTTATATCACTCTGCTGCGCTTGAGAATAGTCGAAAACATTCACAGATACCAGACTTCTGAGCTGTGGGGGATACGGGGAGAAAGGAACCTTTGATTTAATTTTAAATATTGTATTCGGACAGTGAAGTTTCGGTGGCCCATCAGAGTTTGTTGTGGCCCCCTAGTTCCCCCCCTCCCCCCCGTGGGCCACGTTGAGAACCACCTGATGATGCCTGTAACCACAGATATTATACTCTTTATATCCAGCAATAAACACGTTTTAATGTATTCGAGCGTGTTCACTAGCTGGCAGTACAAGCACCATCAATAACAAATAATTCATTCAGAGAATTATAAATCAAACTGGCTAGACAATTTCACGAAAGAATTTGTGCAAAGTAAAAACGAAAATTTTACAAATATTCATTAAAAATGTTTTATTCCAAATATGTAATTACATTGCTTGTAATTTTGTTGATAACTGATTATTTCGTTATTGAATAGGATTATATGAAATTATATAAACTTTTCCATTTTCCAGTATTATGAATGACAAAGAGAGTGTTGGAATTTGTTATTTTAATACTTAATATGTCTAAAGCACGAATTGATTTTGTTGATGGTTATTGTTTGCCACATGAGAAGTTAAACTACTGCATTTTGAAAGGTCAAAAGTTAAATACTTGTTTTTGCATATTCAAAGTTTTGCAATTTGGAAGTTTCCATTTTTATATATAAAGACTATTGAATTTATGTACTTGAATACCGGAAAACAAGGTAATTCGAGACAGTGAGAGGACTAGGATGAAATTTTAGTTAACATAACATTAAAGGACAAAAAGGGACCTTTTGGTGAATCTACACCATCCTATCCACTCAACACTAAAAAACTCAAAGCCATCTCTTATCGTTGAAATATTTATCAAGTTTTTCCTTAAACTTACTTAAATTAATGCATCTACCACATCTAAAGATAACCCGTTCCAAAGGTCAACCACCCTGTTAGGAAAAGTAAGCTGTCTTAGTTGAAAATCATCTCTATCCTGCCAAAATTTATATTTGTGTACTCTAGACTTACCATTATGATTAAATATGAAAAAAGATGACACATCAACACTATTAATTCCCTTAACAACCTTAAAACCTCATTCAGATCCTCTCTAGCTCTTCTCTTTTTAAAGGAAAACAAGTTCAGAGATTTTAACTTATCCTCGTATAACAACCTTTCCAACCGAGGTATTACCCACGTAACCCTCTTTTAAATCTTTTCAACAATTCAATGTTCTTTGTAAGGTAAGGAGCCCAAGACTGAGCACAGTACTCCACATATGATTTATACAATGACACAATAACCACTTGAGACTTGTATTCAATATTTCTGTAAAAACAACCTAAAATCTTATTTACTACCACTATCAATAGCACATCGCTTGGATGGTTTAAGAGATGATAAAACAGAACACCAAGATATTTTTCTTCCATAATACTGTTAAGATTATGCCCAACACAATAATTCTCATAATTCAAATTTTGATATCCTACATGGCTTACCTTGCGTTTATTATAATTGAAAGCCAGCTACCGTCTATTCGCCCTACTCACTAAGTAATCCAAATCTTTCTGTGGCATCCTCCTCACAGCCAGCAACATCCAAAACTTTAATGTCATGAGCAAATTTAATTAATATATTGACCACTTTTTCATCTGTATCACTGATGTAAATCAAAAATAGCAAAGACCATAACACTGAGCCCTGAGGTATCTGACTTCTGGCATTAATCCAGCTTGGCTGAACTCCATTTATAACTT